GAGAGACCCTCTCACGTAATTTATACTCCTTGCCTAAGTCTTTTTATTCCACTGGTAGAAGAACTTCTGTGAAACAAGCATCAGATCCATCAGTGTTATTTTAAATGTTGTAGGATCTGTACTTTAAAATGCCAGTGTCCCCGAAGAACAGTTCCTGTTTATTGCAGGACTGAATACAGTACGTTCTATTAATGAATATACATCTTGGAGTTAATAGGGAAAAAAGGAGACTTTTTGCTATGTGAAGTAACTTTTAGACAAAGATCTGCTTGGTGCAGCTCTTTGACATTTGTACTTTGTCGAAACTTTCCAAGTCATCACTAGAAAAAATGGTAACACGAGCACATTCCTAGACCCATGTGTTTGGACCAGTTCGTCAATCATTGCCTAGCACCCAAACTCTCCTCATGAACAGACGTTAATAAGCATCACCTTCTATAAAACCACCTCAGACCTGACATTTATAAAAGTGCTGTGAATCCAGCAGTTGCACAACACACTTTGCTCACCAAGGCCCCTGTTCTTTTTGTTCCTTCCCCTTGCAGGAAGTCTGAAAGATTCAAGGCCACCCGTGATGAAGTAAATGTGTTTCTGAAGCCGTGCTTACATCACAGCTCCACCCAGGCCTGCCTCACGTCCATCCTCATAGTGCCCTGCAGAGGAATTAGAAGCAGCAGGTCTAATAAGCCTAGGGAACTGAGATGGTTTCAGCTTCCAAGAGAGGCAGGTTTGGCATCTCACACAAGCACGGCACGCCTGGCAGCAGGTGCCAAGTTCATGACTGCACCCCCCCCCAAACCTGTCCAAGGCTCAAGCCACCAGCACCACCTCATCAGAGCATGGGGCAGGTTGAGTTCACCCTCACAGCATCTCCCCCAGTGAGTGCACGGGATGACACCATCAGTTGTTCACAATGCAGAATCACTGCCAGCTCAGGAAGACTGATGTGGTTCCCCCAAGAGAGATCTTAACTCTATTTTGCTTTGCTTAAAAAAAAGCCTCCAGCACAGACCAGGGTGTGCGTGTGTGAAGAAATAGAGAGAGGTGAAGGAAGCTGA